CAACCTAATATCATATGAAAACCCAACAATTAATCACTTTTTCCGGCTATGATGTGGAAGCGACGGCGTCGACCTCACCGATTCAGGATTTGAAGAAGGGGGAAGAGTTACAAGTGTTGGCACAGTGCTGGGGATATTAAATAAATCCGGTTTGCTAGAATGGCAGACCACACCAGGGCCACCAAGTGACGGCTGCCAAAATTCATAATTCAAATTTGTCAATTCCTTTTCAATCATTGAAAGTAATGTGGGAGACGTATCTGAAAAAAAAAGAATTAGTATAATAAAATATGAACATTTTGTAATCTTCTAACCAACTGTAATCATCTGCTTCATAAGCTGCTCAGAATTTTAGCATTTCGAAGTTTGGTAACTTAAAAACTATGAAGTTTTATTGTTGCAGAAATAAGGTATTGCAGCACCCATAAGACTTTTCTAGTCCCTTACCAAATGATTATTTCTTTTTTTAACATTCGTGATTATTTACTTGCAGTAAAAGTTCTCGTGAAATAGAATTTTGCAAAAGGTCTGTGCTAAATTTATGCTACCTGGGCCTGCTGATATAGTATTACGAAATACTTATCGCGTTAGCAACACTAATTGAATGACACTAAGTATTGACTGGTGAAATTGGGTTTAAACATAGTCACAATTACTCAGTATTGTACAAATCCAAAAAAGCATATAGGACAACTTTATGATTGATTTTAACAATTACAAAAGAATACTTAGAAACATCATACCAGGTTTTAGGAACGCAAATACACTACCACCTCCACCAGCCCCGGTCATTTTTGGATGTATGCCATAGCGAGCTAACAGGGTACAAAGCTGGTCAACTTTCGGATGACCAACTCCTAATGCCATCAGAAGCTGATTGTTAATACGACATAGATCCTGTAAACGTTTATTACAATTGAAAAGAATGAAAGTGGGGAAGCTGATAAATAGAACCCTCAGGTAAATAAAGCATGTCTTCTAACAAATAAAAAGGCAGTCTGTATAAACATCGACATTCTCACAATAACAACCACTAAAGCAAAATTATAATTTTTGACTGAAATCTTAACGTTTCTACCCTTTCAAACTTCTTTCTTTAACAACAGACTTGATAACTGCGCCACCCAGAATTACCTGTTGGTCAAAATGTCAAATTGCAATTCGGCCAAGAAGCTTTGGTAAATAAGAGCTGACATTACTTTCAAAAGCACGTGTTTGTATTAGTTAACACCAAAAACTGAACAACTAATGCACAGCAAAAAACTGCGTCCTTTTTTTAAAGCTGGTTTTTAACAAAAAAACATATATCCCAAGACAAAGCTCATACGTTTAATCTCGAGTAAGCATCAATGAGCTCATTCTTCTCAGCTTTATCCGAAGTTGAACCACCTGCCAAAGATCCGCTAGCTGCTGAAGTGTTACTGCTTCGTTTTCCGTCAGCAACGTACGAAGTAAGTCTGGCGGAATCGCCGCTATTTGTGACCTTCTCGCCAGGCTAAAAATTACTGATAATCACATAAACATTCAAGGTACGAGTATTACAAAGAAAAAAACAAGCAAACAGTTGCAACGTTTCACAACTCTAGCACTTCCATACAAGTGAGCTGACTCAAGGACAAATTAGAAATTTGAAATATTCAGATCGACAAAGCATTTTGCTAAATTGAACACTTCTTCAGATTGATCCAACCCTAAGAATAATTTAAAATTTGCCGGATCCTGCGCATTAACTCTAGCATTAAATTCATGCGACAATTTCAGAAAAAGTAAAGAGATCAAGAAGTCAAACTCCTTTCGGATGTGAGGGCCGAACATGCCTGAGCATTCACGGCACAAAGCAGTCTTCATGCACATTAGTCAAGCGTGATCAGAAAAGTTACTGGGTGGCGCATTTGCTAAGAAAACAATGCAAAATTGCTGCAAGGTAGTTTACTCAACTTGACTAATCTGATTCAGGGGAGTCTCGAAGCTACAATCTTCATACTCAGAAAAAATAACAGGATGGAGACTGTAAAGGAAGACGTCTGCAGATAACTCACATCAGACCAAATTGCGTCCAAAACAGCGTGTAAAAATATCAGAGTTAACTCTAGAGACTATAAGGAGTGAGAGTTGACAATCATTGAGTCATCATAAAAAAGGTAAAACTAAGAACAGTCAAGAATACAAAAGAAATGAAAACCATGCGAGAAAGAACGAGAAATACCCAATAGTGAAATATTTTTCAAACATATTACTTTGTTATTGAAAATTTCGTGCTAAAGCGCTTACATTTAAAAACTCGTACTTCAACCTATCTTTCAACTCCTACAAAAAGTTTCAATTAGTCATTATAAAAAGCAAAGCAGCTCCATTTCAGGAACAATTCTATAATCCTCATTATTTCTAAAAAAATAAATTTCGTTCAGACTCGTCCTCAACTGCTACTGCTCTGAAGCCCTCAGTTGTAAATAGTTTGAAAACCCCACCCATTAGAATCCCATTAACACTATTAATAAATATCTGCTCGAGCATCTTGGCGCAAACATGAAATTCAGATAGATGGAAATCTACTAAGTCATCACTTAAAAAAAAAAAAAAAATTTGGAAGTATGAAACTAATCAAAATTTGAACTAGACGCCCTCAAAAACTATAATACCGCAAATCAACAAACACTGCGAGAACCTTCGGAGTAAAAGCAGTTGACCGCATGGAAGAGTGAAAAAAATGTCTGGAAAATCAAAAAATGACTTGGGAATCTTGATGTAAAAATACGACTTTCTGGGTTAAATTTAATCATTACTATTAACCAAATTAGAGACTGCTGCAAAAAAGATAAGAAATTAAAAACGTTAAAGAAAAAGACTTAATGGATGGACTTCAAAATTCAGTGCCTTTTAACTAGCAGAAAGAGTAAGACCAGAAAAATTGAAGATTTACTATAAAAGCAAGTAGTAACATGAACAAAGAAATTAATTCAAATTACAGTGAAGAAAAATAAAACCTATGAGATGAAAAGGTACCTGTAAACTCTGGTGCTCGTGTTCATTACAATACGCACCACTAGCAGAAGTACCACTGCCACCGTTTACTAATTTTTCTGAGTCTCCATTTTCCACAACAGGTCTATGAAGAATTTTTGTAGCCTCCACCGATATTGCATTGATAGATTCGAAAATTGGTTGGAGCACATCAGGGTACTGAAATTAACTCACAAAAATAAACACGTTTTTGAACTATTCAATGAAAAAATTCAGGAAAGAAACGAACTGTCTTCAGTGCTTCCCTGACCACTTGTACCATTCTTGAAGTGCTTTTCTCCACTTTAGAGTTTATTAGGATAACCCGCAAGTCCGGAAGGCTAAAACGAAGTAGCACTAAAGTAAACGATTATAGCGACTAAACTTGGGTACATATCAAAAATCAACTTAAAAAATCTGTAGGGAAGCTAAATAACAAAGCGAATGTGATTGGTGTGCAAACTTTCCACACAACATATTCAGGTAATTATGTTATTTTTTTCTTTGTAACTCTTCATTTAAGAATAAGCTGATAAAAAATTGTAGTTTTGTCAGTACAAGCATAAGTAGCCATAAAAACCTGATTTTTTGCATGATAACTGAACTTACTTTTTCAAGTGCTGAAGTGCATTCCCAGCCTTGAAAGCAGCAACACCTCCTAAACGATACCGTAAACTCAAAAAAGTTGTAAAAATTTCAGATATCAAATATCCGTAAATATTCAATTCAAAATACTTTCAAAAAATATTAACCGTAAGTACATATCGTTGCATCCAAACCAGAGGCTCGTCCATGAATTATACATTCAGCAGCTGCTGACCAACGACGAATGATGTCTAAATGTGGATAGTCCCAAGTAAGAGTGCCTTCGCCATCGACCTAGTAAGCTAACTAGTAAGACAAGTTGACCATTTAAGTAAGTTTCAAAAATAGTACAACGCCGTAATAAAATTAAGGAGGATTTTTTCAAGTAATTTTACTGAGTGCCAGTAGAAGAACTTACTCCGAGTCTTTAACAGAATTTTTACTTCCCCAACTCAGACTCAGGATACAGAATGTCATTAAAACGAGATTAAGCTGCATAAAACGCGGCTCTTGAAACAAAATGTTAAACCACAGACTCTTTCACATAACAAGTAGACTAAAGCACTGAGCATAAAAGGTTGAAACCAAGCAGTTTAATCATTAACATGTTATTAATATGAACATTTTCAAACATAAATATTACTGGAATAGACGGAGGCGGTATAATTCCAGCAGTTTGAAGAAGGGCAGAAGCCACGCAAACACAATATGCCCCTGCAATTTAACTATTCATCGAGATTTGAAAAATAAATTAAAAATTTTTGGCTCCATTCATAAAATCCAACTATGAAGCGCGCAAAATATATCAAGAGAAACACAAAGAAACTTACCAGAAGACCCTAGTCCCACACAGGACGGAAGCTTAAACCGTATAGTTACTTTGACTGCTAAGAGATCCCTGAAAAAATTACAATGAGTAATAATCCTTCCCCATCAATCAGTAAACTAAAAGTACATTATAACAAGTTAGAGCAAGCTGAAAAACTTATTCGTAGATGATCAAAAAAACACATCAAGATATATAAGCAATTAATAATATCCACTTCAATGTCATAAAAAAACAATTTTTCGGAACTATACTCAAGTATTCCAATCGCAGTACCGTTAATGTAAAGGTAAGTAAAGTCAAAGTTTAGTAACATGCAACGTGCGATAAAATCAAGGGGCTCTCACGGTAGATTACGTGCAAAAGAATATTAACTGGTTATTTATAGTGCTCCATGTCTTATTCTCGATTGTTACTTGGATGATTAATTCTAATAAAAAGAATCCTAAACCCCTATTACAAATCACACGCTTTTGAAATGAAAAGTTCACTACTCACTTGAAGACTAAATACACAAAAATGTTTCGAGCTCTTGCGAACTATCTTGAATAAACATGATTAGGGCGAACTAGAAGCATAAAGGGTAGTAGAAATCAATTATTTTTATTGAAGAAAACTACCAACTCACTCAAGTGAAGCCTGTGGTTTCGTTTCAGCGTCTAAGCATTTTCTTGAGCTGTCCTCAACTTTAGATTCCTCCTGCTCATTTTCGTGCATTCTGCATCAGAGGAAGTAATGTCAGGAAGCAAAAGCACACCAGCATTGCCAAGAAACAGAAGTAAAACAAAAGAAAAGAATGGTTAAGAAAAGGATAACTAATATAAACAGTACATTAACAACACCGACGTTACAGAATAAATTTCGTAAGCTTTTAGCTACGAATGAAAAAGTGAAAACAAAAATCTATGACGCTCATGCCACACAGTCCAACTGAAGTGGAGAAGCAAAATTTGGCAACGAAATGCAACCAAGAAAGAAAACTGTGAAAAGTCTGTCAAACAACCCACTACATCCATGCAAAACGATAAGCATTGCCTCAAGCAAAACAACATTTTGTTGACCAAGTGAAAACCACTTCCTTACGCTACAATGGCGAGTTATAGGCAACTACTGCTATGGTTACATTTGAGCATGTCAAGTCTGTTGAAAAATTGATTGCAAGAAAAAATTATCTTTTGGAGCACGTCAAAACAACGCTAAGCAAAACTACCTCAAGCTGATCAAATAGTTAATCATCGCTCAGTCATATAATTTGTGATCTTCCTCAAAATGAACTGTTTTAAGTCCAGTAAAAGATCTCCAGTTCTCAGAGTCAGAAAACGTACCTTTTATACTGGACAGCACTGAGTAGAAGATACCAGAAAGCAAGAATTGCCAAGCCTTGAGCACCAGAATGATCTTCACCATAACCACTTAAGACTTTAGCGTAAGGGACAACCTTATCGGGTGGTAACGGCGAAACCCCGCTTACAGAGCATTCTTCTGAAAATAATTACAAAACCCTCAGGCCCTTGCCATTCTAAATAGTATAATGGATATGACATTGTTAAAAAAAAAGGTAAAAAGGTGAAACACGCTAAGTTGAAGAAAAATTCTGTAAACTTTAATGAAAAGAAATAATAACTACTGCAACTAAACTACTTCAACTAAACACTTTGAAAGGGAACAAAACACATGAATGGTTAGTTCCTAAATACGAGCAAAAAAACGTGTAAAAAAACAAAAACACTTTTCCCCTCAAAAATAAAAATGCATTTTAGCAAAGAGAGAAAATAGCTCATATTCTGTCGAATAAAAAAGGAGATAGGAGACTAACGAGCTAATTTTTCGCCAGCTCTGAAAAGTTCCTTCAACTCCCAGGTTTCTTCAATTCCCAAGTCCGGAAGTGACAAATAAATTCTCCCGTCAGCAGAAGTGTACAAACTGATATATGTCCGTAAGTCAATGGAACCAGCAACAGCAGTCTGAAAAAAAAAAAAAAAACATTCGGTAGATCCAATTTTTTTAAAGAAACAATAATAGCCAAAAATCTAGTAGGCTATCTAAGTGACATCACAGATTCAGTTTCTACCTCGCAACTATATCCGCGGTATCAACGAAACATCAACAAAAGACATCAAAAAATTTATATAACTGTACTATCAAAAAGTTGCTAAATTTAGTGACTTATCAGCGTACCTTTCCATAAACAACGGCATGTTCACCAAATAAAATAATCTTTCCTGGAGCACTGATAAATAGACCACCAGATGAGCTTGTCAATGTCCTCATTGGCGAAGAACGAGCACTACCTGACGCAGCTATCGATGGATTTGCCGATTGTGGAGCCGGCGGATGGCGAGAAGACGAAGCCGGACTCTCTCGAACTTAAACAACAAAAAAACAAAACTGATGTTTCAAACCCCAAAAAATTATAAATATAAATATAAATATGAATATTATAAAGGTAAAAAAAAATAGAAAACATGCTTGAGAGAAATAAAAAGAAATGAAGTAAAAAAGGAGTTATCTTTAATATGGCAGAAAAATACAACTTTTAAGTATACGTAACTGTTTGAATGATGTACTATCCGATACTACATTTATTTTCTCTTTTAAAAACTAGAAAAAGTTTTTCTAGTCTTTAAAAAAAAAGATTTACAAGATATAAAGCACGATTACTCTTTCATAATTTATGAAAAAGTAGTCAATCTGCCACCCCCTTTAAAAAAGTTAAACTTCTTTTTCCTCTCAGTTTTTATTAAGTAACTTACTTTTTTAATGAATATTTGAAACCTTTAAAACTGCAGATAAGAAAAGTGTATTAAAAAGCAAATTTTAATAACTTCACTGAGAAATAAGAGTTTTCTAGAATAAATCGTGCATACCTATCCATTCAAGGCGAGAAGATAACACCGCTTAACGCTAGTGCCTAATGGCAACTGCCAATAATAGCACCTTTAAATATATATACTCATATCCTTAGTTTCATGATTTCTTCACAACTCTCACTACCATTTTTATAAGGTGAGAAGGAATCAGACAAATATCCTCACAATAATACAAATTCACACATGTTCACTCCATATGTCATGTATTGAACAATTCAAAGCAAACACTGTATTGCTGTTTTGTGCAAGATTTCCAAGTGACCCGTGCAAATCTCAATCAATTAAAGTCATCACGCACATTATCAGCAGCACCCTCAACGCCATTCATCTAATTTATTCAGGTTCTAGAATTTCTAGCCAGCAAATTTAAATATTACTTGAAAAAAAAAAAAACTAACTTAATCAGTGCATTAGTTTTGACACCAGTAAAGAGCAGTTCCTGTGTACATAGGTGATGTGATATAGATAAACACTACATACTTCTAATCCTACGACTTTTTTTTAGCTCTTCGAAATTGTTGCTTTTACAAGTAGCTACAGCAGCAGAGCTGTAGTTTGATAAAAATAAAAGTGCTAACAAACTGTTGGTATACCGCAATTAATACAATCCACTTTACTTCCCAGTGATACTTTCATTCCAAAAATAAAAAAAACAAAAAAGTTTTTTTTAGCAATTTCTCAAGAAAACACTACCCAAGATAAACAAGTGGCTAAATAAACCCATGTTATCTGACACAACCTTTAATAGTCAGTGCCACTTAAAGTGATCCATAGAATACATGAGTAAATTACCCGCTGATAAATTGAGAGAATAATCCAACAGCAGCAGCAGTAGAGCCAGCAACAACAGCGGTAGCAGTAAAAAAAACCGGAACTTATCGTCTGATTTTCCCCATTTTTTTTCCTTTTTGCGTACAGGCTTAACCTTCAGTAATTATAATATCTTCTTCCAATACTCTTAATATTGGAAATCACAAGTTAAAATCTTTTGATTTAAATGTAAAGTTAAATAACAAAGAAAAAGTACGCATTAGATACGGGGCTAACCGAAACCAAAAAAGAAGGCCGACGAAAAAAACTTCAACTGTTAATACACTTACTAAAGCTGTAAGGTAACATGGCACAGAAACCAATTCTTCCTTCCTTTTCTCCTCCTTCTAATATTCTGTTATCGAAAACCAACATATATATATA